TTACGCTGCATTCTTGCTGCGTTGCAGGTTGATCTAGAACCTCTTTAGGCATCCAAGGCCCTGCTGGTGTGTTGGTTTGAGGTCATCTTCAACATCTACAATATCACTCCTAATTATTACGAATATAGATTTTGATGAAAAAAATATCCCCAACAGCTTCTCTAAATAGTTATCTAAATATAGATATCTTCTATTGTGGATTTCTAGCTAACCAAAGATAGATAGCGAAAATGGCTCTCTAAAGTGTACACGAGATATGTTGAGTTGTGATCCAAATTCAGTTATGTACAAGATAAAGGCTAATTTCTGTCGGAGCGAAGCGAGGCCCGTCGTCGGGAGGCTTGGGCCGAAGCGAAGCGGATCGTCACCTATTAGGGTTTTCCATCTATATATACTTCATGTAAGCCGTCGTCTTGGGATAAGAAAAATTATAAATCCCTGACGTTTGTAACCTCACCCGATATAGTGAAGATTTGTTGGCTAGTGCCCGTGGGTTTTTTCCCTTCCACCTTGGGAGAGTTTTCCACGTTAAAATCTCATGTCCCCTGTGCTTGATCTATTGTTCTTTGTCATTTATATTGCCTATCGTGTATAACAAGTGGTACCAGAGCTTGGCTTGACCTTAGGGTTTCGCGATGGCATCGATGAAGTTTGATCTACCGCTGCTAGATTACAAGACGAGATTTGCACTGTGGCAAGTTAAGATGCGGGCGATTCTGGCGCAATCTTTGGATCTTGATGAGGCGCTGGACGGTTTCGGAGGAAATGGGCAAAAGTCATGGACCGCTGAAGAGAAGTGGAAGGATCGTAAGGCTCTGTCTCTGATTCAAGTTCATCTACATAATGATATTTTACAAGAAGTGCCGTAGGAGAAAATTGCCGTAGAACTTTGGCTCAAGATGGAATCGATTTGCATGTCCAAGGATCTAACCAGTAAGATACACGTGAAGATGAAGTTGTTCACGCACAAGCTGCAAGAAGGTGGTTCGGTGATGAACCACTTATTGATCTTTAAGGAGATCGTTGCCGACCTGGTGTCGATGGAGGAAAAATATGATGATGAAGATTTAGCTCTTCTATTGTTATGCTCACTGCCTACTTCGTTTGCAAATTTCCGAGATACCATACTATTAAGCCATGATGAACTAACCCTTGTGGAAGTGTATGAGGCCCTCCAGACGAGGTAGAAGATGAAAGGTATCGTTCAGTCTGATGTGTTGTCCTCCAAGGGCGAAGTATTGCAGGTTAGAGGCAGGCCCGAGCAGAAAACCTACAACAACAACAATAATTGAGACAAGAGCAAAAACGGTAAAGGCCGTTCGAAGTCCAGAGGCAGGGATAAGCTCTGTAGCTATTGTAAGAAAGATACTCATGTCATTGAGGATTGTTGGAAGCTGCAGAATAAGGACAAAAGAAACGGTACGTATAAACCAAAAAATAATTCCGATGGTGATGGTAATGCCTCTGTAGTCTCCGCTGTTGATAATTCTGATTCAGGAGATGTTCTGGTTGTTTTTGCTGGTTGTGTTGCTGGTCGTGATGAATGGATACTTGATTCTACATGCTCATTTCAGGGTGAAGGTTCATTTTATGCTACAAGAAGGAATTTGTCTCATGGTGGAGTTTGTTGAGTTGTGATCCAAATTTAGTTATGTACAAGATAAAGGCTAATTTCTACAGGAGCGAAGCGAGGCCCATCGTCGGGAGGCTTGGGCCGAAGCGAATATGAAGCTCTCTTATTCGGGCTGATCATGTTGCGTTCCATGGAGGTAAAACATGTTGAAGCTTACGGTGATTCCTTGCTGGTGGTACAGCAAGTTGCCGGTGAATTTCAATGTTTAGAAGGATCACTATGAACTTGTCTTGATGTCATTGACTATTTTGCCGAATTTCAAATTTGACATATTCCGAGGCATGAAAATCAAAAGGCCAACATGTTAGCTCAACAAGCATCTAGCAATGATGTCGGTGGGCATAATTTTCATATTCAAGAACAGCCGATGCAAGAAAATTTGAATTTTCTCCGTGCAGGTGCAGACCAGTCGTCTAAGCCGAATGACCTAGTCGGCTCAGCCGATTCCTTCTTTGGTTTGGCCAACTCGACTAGGCCAACTACCCTAGTCGGTCGGGCCAACCCCTCCAAGTCAGCTAGGCCGACTGCCCTAGTCGGCTCAGCCGACTCCCCTGTGACTAGCCCAGTCAATTCCCTTGAGAAGCTATCAAATCAGCCCAATGTAACTTCCAGTGATGTTGGGGCCAATTTAGAAGATTGGAGGACTACCTTGTTGAGATATTTACTCGATCCAAGTGTTAAGATTGATAAAGGTGTTCGGCGGAGTGCTTTCAAGTATGTGTTGCATAAAGATGAGCTCTATTGGAGAACCGCTAAAGACTTGCTGCTTAAGTGCTAGGGATCAGATCTGGCAAGAGTGGCTATGGGAGAAGTTCATGAAGGCATCTATGGTATGCATCAATCGGCCCCAAAGATGAAGTGGTTATTGCGTAGAGCCGGTTTTTATTGGCCTACTATGATGGCCGATTGCTTTTGTAACTACAAAGGTTGCGAAGAGTGTTAGAAGTTTGGAAATATTCAGCTTGTGCCTGCTGCTATGCTTCATCCTATCATCAAACCATGGCCTTTTCGTGGTTGGGGGCTAGATTTCATTGGCCAAATACATCCCCCATCTTCAAAGGGACACCGATTTGTGTTGGTTGCTACGGATTACTTTACAAAGAGGACCAAGGCAGTTCCTTTGAAGAATATGACGCACAAGGAGGTAATTGAGTTCATTACTGAACATATTATCCATAGATTCGGCATCCCTCAAACATTAACTACAGACCAAGGGACATCATTTGTGTCTAAGGAGGTGAGAAATTTGCCGAATTATATAAGATTAAGTTGCTCAATTCATCTCCATACTATGCTCAAGCTAATGGCCAAGCTGAGTCTAGTAATAAGACTTTGATCAAGCTTATCAAAAAGAAGATTGACGAGAATCCAAGGAGGTGGCATGAAGTTTTGTCTGAAGCTCTATGGGCACATCGTATTTCAAGTCCTAGTGCTACAAAGGTTACTCCTTTTGAGCTAGTATATGGTCAAGAGGCCGTGTTACCCATCGAGGTGAATTTGGATGCATAGAGGCTTGCTAAACAAAATGATCTATCTGCTGTCATGTATCATGATTTGATGATGGATAATATTGATGAGGTGACTGATGTTGGATTAAAAGCTCTCAAGGAGATAGAAAAAGACAAAGCTCGAGTTGCCAAGGCATACAACAAGAAAGTCAAGAGCAAATCCTTTGAAGTGGGAGAATTAGTGTGGAAAACCATACTTCCAATTGGATCGAAGAGCAATCAGTTTGGCAAGTGGTCACCAAATTGGGAGGGTCCTTATAAAGTGATCAAAGTCATATTCGATAATTCCTATCTACTAGAGACATTGCAAGGTGAACGTCTCACAAGAGCAATCAACGGGAGGTATTTGAAAAAGTACTTTTCAAGTGTTTGGCAAGAAGCCTAAGCGCTCTTCAAGCAATGGCCGATACATGTATCGCCGTTAGAACAAAAATGGTCGATGTATACATCGCCCTTAGTCGCTGAGCAGCCGATGAGATGGGTATCGTCGTTGTTTGGTTTTGTTTTGTTTGATTAAGTATTTTTAGGTTCATGCATCATTCACCTCAAAACAGGGGGCATATGTTGACACCGAAAAATATCCCAAGGTGGTTTCAGGCACCATGAATAAGTTATAAACATCTTGGACAAGTTTGAGGTCAAGAGGCGCGACAAAATAACGAACAAAATGCGCGGAGAAGATGGCGAGCCATAGCCAGTCGGCTTAGCCGACCCTGTTACCCCCAGTCGGCTTAGCCGACTATCAGAGTCGGTCAGCCGACCAGGCACCTGCCCGAGCCCGCAAAAGTTGGCTTAGTCGACTCCCCCTATTGGTTAAGCCGACTCCTCCTAAAAACCGAGTAGGAGACTTCCTAAAATCGGTTTTTGGTATATTTTTTATGTCGAAAACTTGGAGAAAGCGTCTTGAAGATGTTTCCTACTGGAATAAGACCACCACCCCTCTATATATATGAGAGGATCAAGGCCGATTGAATTCCCATCAATCCAATCGTCAAAAACACAACATATCAACTCATTTTACCCTAATTGCCCTCTCTCAACCCCTTCCTGCTGTTCGTTGAGTTTTTCGGTGAGATTCAGTGGCATCCTAGGTGGCCTTACTGGTCCTAGGAGATCCTCCATGTGCTCCTCCCCGACGGGTCTTCCCAGGAGAAGTTCGGGAGCCTTTTATGCCAAGAACGGGCTCTATATCAGCTGTATTGGTCTCTAGATCGGTTTGGTCAATTACGCTGCATTCTTGCTGCGTTGCAGGTTGATCTAGAACCTCTTTAGGCATCCAAGGCCCTGCTGGTGTGTTGGTTTGAGGTCATCTTCAACATCTACAATATCACTCCTAATTATTACGAATATAGATTTTGATGAAAAAAATATCCCCAACAGCTTCTCTAAATAGTTATCTAAATATAGATATCTTCTATTGTGGATTTCTAGCTAACCAAAGATAGATAGCGAAAATGGCTCTCTAAAGTGTACACGAGATATGTTGAGTTGTGATCCAAATTCAGTTATGTACAAGATAAAGGCTAATTTCTGTCGGAGCGAAGCGAGGCCCGTCGTCGGGAGGCTTGGGCCGAGGCGAAGCGGATCGTCACCTATTAGGGTTTTCCATCTATATATACTTCATGTAAGCCGTCGTCTTGGGATAAGAAAAATTATAAATCCCTGACGTTTGTAACCTCACCCGATATAGTGAAGATTTGTTGGCTAGTGCCCGTGGGTTTTTTCCCTTCCACCTTGGGAGAGTTTTCCACGTTAAAATCTCATGTCCCCTGTGCTTGATCTATTGTTCTTTGTCATTTATATTGCCTATCGTGTATAACAAGTGGTACCAGAGCTTGGCTTGACCTTAGGGTTTCGCGATGGCATCGATGAAGTTTGATCTACCGCTGCTAGATTACAAGACGAGATTTGCACTGTGGCAAGTTAAGATGCGGGCGATTCTGGCGCAATCTTTGGATCTTGATGAGGCGCTGGACGGTTTCGGAGGAAATGGGCAAAAGTCATGGACCGCTGAAGAGAAGTGGAAGGATCGTAAGGCTCTGTCTCTGATTCAAGTTCATCTACATAATGATATTTTACAAGAAGTGCCGTAGGAGAAAATTGCCGTAGAACTTTGGCTCAAGATGGAATCGATTTGCATGTCCAAGAATCTAACCAGTAAGATACACGTGAAGATGAAGTTGTTCACGCACAAGCTGCAAGAAGGTGGTTCGGTGATGAACCACTTATTGATCTTTAAGGAGATCGTTGCCGACCTGGTGTCGATGGAGGAAAAATATGATGATGAAGATTTAGCTCTTCTATTGTTATGCTCACTGCCTACTTCATTTGCAAATTTCCGAGATACCATACTATTAAGCCATGATGAACTAACCCTTGTGGAAGTGTATGAGGCCCTCCAGACGAGGTAGAAGATGAAAGGTATCGTTCAGTCTGATGTGTTGTCCTCCAAGGGCGAAGTATTGCAGGTTAGAGGCAGGCCCGAGCAGAAAACCTACAACAACAACAATAATTGAGACAAGAGCAAAAACGGTAAAGGCCGTTCGAAGTCCAGAGGCAGGGATAAGCTCTGTAGCTATTGTAAGAAAGATACTCATGTCATTGAGGATTGTTGGAAGCTGCAGAATAAGGACAAAAGAAACGGTACGTATAAACCAAAAAATAATTCCGATGGTGATGGTAATGCCTCTGTAGTCTCCGCTGTTGATAATTCTGATTCAGGAGATGTTCTAGTTGTTTTTGCTGGTTGTGTTGCTGGTCGTGATGAATGGATACTTGATTCTACATGCTCATTTCAGGGTGAAGGTTCATTTTATGCTACAAGAAGGAATTTGTCTCATGGTGGAGTTTGTTGAGTTGTGATCCAAATTTAGTTATGTACAAGATAAAGGCTAATTTCTACAGGAGCGAAGCGAGGCCCATCGTCGGGAGGCTTGGGCCGAAGCGAATATGAAGCTCTCTTATTCGGGCTGATCATGTTGCGTTCCATGGAGGTAAAACATGTTGAAGCTTACGGTGATTCCTTGCTGGTGGTACAGCAAGTTGCCGGTGAATTTCAATGTTTAGAAGGATCACTATGAACTTGTCTTGATGTCATTGACTATTTTGCCGAATTTCAAATTTGACATATTCCGAGGCATGAAAATCAAAAGGCCAACATGTTAGCTCAACAAGCATCTAGCAATGATGTCGGTGGGCATAATTTTCATATTGAAGAACAGCCGATGCATGAAAATTTGAATTTTCTCTGTGGTGGTGCAGACCAGTCGTCTAAGCCGAATGACCCACTCGGCTCAGCCGATTCCTTCTTTGGTTTGGCCAAGTCGGCTAGGCCGACTGCCCTAGTCGGTCGGGCCGACCCCTCCAAGTCAGCTAGGCCGACTGTCCCAGTCGGCTCAGCCGACTCCCCTATGACAAGCCCAGTTAATTCGCTTGAGAAGCTACCAAATTGGCCCAATGTAACTTCCAATGATGTTGGGCCTAATTTAGAAAATTGGAGGACTACCTTGTTGAGATATTTACTCGATCCAAGTGTTAAGATTGATAAAGGTGTTCGACGAAGTGCTTTCAAGTATGTGTTGCATAAAGATGAGCTCTATTGGAGAATCGCTAAAGACTTGCTGCTTAAGTGCTTGGGATCAGATCTGGCAAGAGTGGCTATGGGAGAAGTTCATGAAGGCATCTATGGTATGCATCAATCGGCCCCAAAGATGAAGTGGTTATTGCATAGAGCCGGTTTTTATTGGCCTACTATGATGGCCGATTGCTTTTGTTACTACAAAAGTTGCGAAGAGTGTTAGAAGTTTGGAAATATTGAGCTTGTGCCTGCTGCTATGCTTCATCCTATCATCAAACCATGGCCTTTTCATAGTTGGGGGCTAGATTTCATTGGCCAAATACATACCCCATCTTCAAAGGGACACCGATTTGTGTTGGTTGCTACGGATTACTTTACAAAGAGGACCAAGGCAGTTCCTTTGAAGAATATGACACACAAGGAGGTAATTGAGTTCATTACTTAACATATTATCCATAGATTCGGCACCCCTCAAACATTAACTACAGACCAAGGGACACCATTTGTGTCTAAGGAGGTGAGGAAATTTGCCGAATTATATAAGATTAAGTTGCTTAATTCATCTCCATACTATGCTCAAGCTAATGGCCAAGCTGAGTCTAGTAATAAGACTTTGATCAAGCTTATCAAAAAGAAGATTGACGAGAATCCAAGGAGGGGCATGAAGTTTTGTCTGAAGCTCTATGGGCACATCGTATTTCAAGTCCTAGTGCTACAAAGGTTACTCCTTTTGAGCTAGTATATGGTCAAGAGGCCGTGTTACCCGTCGAGGTGAATTTGGATGCATAGAGGCTTGCTAAACAAAATGATCTATCTGCTGTCATGTATCATGATTTGATGATGGATAATATTGATGAGGTGACTGATGTTGGATTAAAAGCTCTCAAGGAGATAGAAAAAGACAAAGCTCGAGTTGCCAAGGCATACTACAAGAAAGTCAAGAGCAAATCCTTTGAAGTGGGAGAATTAGTGTGGAAAACCATACTTTCAATTGGATCGAAGAGCAATCAGTTTGGAAAGTGGTCACCAAATTGGGAGGGTCCTTATAAAGTGATCAAAGTCATATTCGGTAATTTCTATCTGCTAGAGACATTGCAAGGTGAACGTCTCACAAGAGCAATCAACGGGAGGTATTTGAAAAAGTACTTTTCAAGTGTTTGGCAAGAAGCATAAGCACTCTTCAAGCAATGGCCGATACATGTATCACCCTTAGAACAAAAATGGTCGATGTATACATCGCCCTTAGTCTCTGAGCAGCTGATGAGATGGGTATCATCGTTGTTTGGTTTTGTTTTGTTTGATTAAGTGTTTTTAGGTTCATGCATCATTCACCTGAAAACGGGGGGCATATGTTGACACCCAAAATGTCCCAAGGTGGTTTCAAGCACCATGAATAAGTTCTAAACATCTTGGACAAGTTTGAGGTGAAGAGGCGCGACAAAATAACGAACGAAACACGCGGAGAAGACGGCGAGCCACGGCGAACCATAGCCAGTCGGCTTAGCCGACCCTGTTACCCCCAGTCGGCTTAGCCAACTATCAGAGTCGGTCAGCCGGCCAGGCACCTGCCCGAGCCCACAAAAGTCGGCTTAGCCGACTCCCCCTATCAGTTAAGTCGACTCCTCCTGAAAACCAAGTAGGAGACTTCCTAAAATTGGTTTTTGGTATATTTTTGACGTGGGAAACTTGGAGAACGCGTCTTGAAGATGTTTCCTACTGGGATAAGACCACCCCCCCCCCTCTATATATATAAGACGATCACGGCTGATTGAATTCCCATCAATCCAATCGTCAAAAACACAACATATCAACTCCTTTTGCCCTAATTCCCCTCTCTCAACCCCTTCCTGCTATTCATTGAGTTTTTCGGTGAGATTCAGCAGCATCCTAGGCGGCCTTGCTAGTCCTAGGAGATCCTCCATGTGCTCCTCCCCGACGGGTCATCCCGAGAGAAGTTCGGGAGCCTTTTCAGCCAAGAACGCGCTCTACATCGGCTTTATTGGTCTCCAGATCGGTTTGGTCAATTACGCTACGTTCTTGCTGCGTTGCAGATTGATCTACAACCTCTTTAGGCGTCCAAGGCCCTGCTGGTGTGTTGGCTTGAGGTCATCTTCAACATCAACAATATCACTCCTAATTATTACGAATAGAGATTTTGATGAAAAAATATCCCCAACAACTTCTCTAAATAGTTATCTAAATATAGATATCTTCTATTGCGGATTTCTAGCTAACCAAAGATAGATAGCGAAAATGGCTCTCTAAAGTGTACACGAGATATGTTGAGTTGTGATCCAAATTCAGTTATGTACAAGATAAAGGCTAATTTCTGTCGGAGCGAAGCGAGGCCCGTCGCCGGAAGGCTTGGGCCGAAGCGAAGCGGATCATCACCTATTAGGGTTTTCCATCTATATATACTTCATATAAGCCGTCGTCTTGAGATAAGAAAAATTGTAAATCCTCAACGTTTGTAACCTCACCCGATATAGTAAAGATTTGTTGGCTGGTGCCCGTGGTTTTTTTCCCTCCCACCTTGGGAGGGTTTTCCACTTTAAAATCTCATGTCCCCTGTGCTTGATCTACTGTTCTTCATCGTTTATATTGCCTATCATGTATAACAAGTGGTACCAGAGATTGGTTTGACCTTAGGGTTTCGCGATGGCATCGATGAAGTTTGATCTACCGCTGCTGGATTACAAGACGAGATTTGCACTGTGGCAAGTCAAGATACGGATGATTCTGGCACAATCTTTGGATCTTGATGAGGCGCTGGACGGTTTCGGAGGAAAAGGACAAAAGTCATGGACCGCTGAAGAGAAGCGGAAGGATCGTAAGGCTCTGTCTCTGATTTAACTTCATCTACATAATGATATTTTGCAAGAAGTGCTGTAGTAGAAAACTACCGTAGAACTTTGGCTCAAGGTGGAATCGATCTGCATGTCTAAGGATCTAACCAGTAAGATGCACGTGAAGATGAAGTTGTTCTTGCACAAGCTGCAAGAAGGTGGTTCGGTGATGAACCACTTATCGATCTTTAAGGAGATCATTGCTGACCTAGTGTCGATGGAGGAAAAATATGATGATGAAGATTTAGCGCTTCTATTGTTATGCTCACTGCCTACTTTGTTTGCAAATTTCTAAGATACCATACTATTAAGCCGTGATGAACTAACCCTTGTGGAAGTATATGAGGCCCTCCAGACTAGGGAGAAGATGAAAGGTATCGTTCAGTCTGATGTGTCGTCCTCCAAGGGTGAAGTGTTGCAGGTTAGAGGCAGGCCCGAGCAGAAAACCTACAACAACAACAATAATCGAGACAAGAGCAAGAACGGTAAAGGTCGTTCGAAGTCCAGAGGCAGGGATAAGTTCTGCAGGTATTGTAAGAAAGATACTCATGTCATTGAGGATTATTGGAAGCTGTAGAATAAGGAGAAAAGAAATGGTACATATAAACCAAAAAATAAATCCGATGGTGATGGTAAGGCCTCTGTTGTCTCCGCTGTTGATAATTCTAATTCAAGAGATGTTCTGGTTGTTTTTGCTGGTTGTGTTGCTGGTCGTGATGAATGGATACTTGATTCTGCATGCTCATTTCAGGGTGAAGGTTAGTTTTATGCTACAAGGAATTTGTCTCAAGGGGGAGTTTGTTGAGTTGTGATCCAAATTCAGTTATGTACAAGATAAAGGCTAATTTCTGCAGGAGCGAAGCGAGGCCCGTCGCCGGGAGGCTTGGGCCGAAGCGAATATGAAGCTCTCTTATTCGGGCTGATCACGTTGCGTTTCATGGAGGTAAAACATGTTGAAGCTTATGGTGATTCTTTGCTGGTGGTACAACAAGTTGCTGGTGAATTTCAATGTTTAGAAGGATCACTGAGAACTTGTTGATGCTTGCCTTGATGTCATTGACTATTTTGCCGAATTTCGAATTTGGCATATCCCGAGGCATGAAAATCAAAAGGCCAACATGTTAGCTCAACAAGCATCTAGCAATGATGTCGGTGGGCATAATTTTCATATTCAAGAACAGCTGATGCATGAAAATTTGAATTTTCTCTGTGCAGGTGCAGACCAGTCGTCTAAGCCGAATGACCCAGTCGGCTCAGCCGATTCCTTCTTTGGTTTGGCCAACTCGGCTAGGCCGACTGCCCTAGTCAGTTGGGCCGACCCCTCCAAGTCGGCTAGGCCGACTGCCCCAGTCGGCTCAGCCGACTCCCCTGTGACTAGCCCAGTCAATTCGCTTGAGAAGCTATCAAATCGGCCCAATGTAACTTCCAGTGATGTTGGGGCCGATTTAGAAGATTGGAGGACTACCTTGTTGAGATATTTACTCGATCCAAGTGTTAAGATTGATAAAGGTGTTCGGCGGAGTGCTTTCAAGTATGTGTTGCATAAAGATGAGCTCTATTGAAGAACCGCTAAAGACTTGCTGCTTAAGTGCTTGGGATCAGATCTGGCAAGATCGGTTTAGTCAATTACGCTGCGTTCTTGCTGCGTTCCTGATTGATCTATAACCTCTATAGGCGTCCAAGGCCCTGCTGGTGTGTTGGCTTGAGGTCATCTTCAACATCAACAATATCACTCCTAATTATTACGAATAGAGATTTTGATGAAAAATATCCCCAACAACTTCTCTAAATAGTTATCTAAATATAGCTATCTTCTATTGCGGATTTCTAGCTAACCAAAGATAGATAGCAAAAATGGCTCTCTAAAGTGTACATGAGATATGTTGAGTTGTGATCCAAATTCAGTTATGTACAAGATAAAGGCTAATTTCTGCCGGAGCGAAGCGAGGCCCGTCGCCGGGAGGCTTGGGCCGAAGCGAAGCGGATCATCACCTATTAGGGTTTTCCATCTATATATATTTCATGTAAGCCATCATCTTGGGATAAGAAAAATTGTAAATCCCCAACATTTATAACCTCACCCGATATAGTGAAGATTTGCTGGCTGGTGCCTGTGGTTTTTTTCTCTTCCACCTTGGGAGGGTTTTCCACTTTAAAATCTCGTGTCCCTGTGCTTGATCTACTGTTCTTCATAGTTTATATTGCCTATCGTTTATAATAAGATAGAAAAGTTGTCGGAGAGTGAAAACATATAGAAACGATGTTTATGCATATGGCTCTTTGAATGATGATTTTGAGAGTGAAATTTAGAAAAGCTCTTCGAGATGCTCTTAGTTTGTAATACCAAATACATAAGGCCACCTATGGGAGACGAAGAAGGGCATTGCAAGCTGCCAACTGACCAACTCCAACGTACAACCATGGGCGGAGCCAGGATTTAGATATAGGGGGATCAGTCCGTAAATGTCGACAATTTTTTTTTGAATACCAGTATCAAACATTAATATTGGTTTAAAAATTACTGATCTTAATGTTGGCTTAAAAACTATAAATCCTCTTTAATCTCCTTCTTTTTCTTCATCTCAGACAAGTGCTAATTCTCTAAATTGAAGATAAAAAGGGACATTGTTCACAAAACTAATGGCTCACGTAACATTTCGGGTTAATTAGATTTGTGCCATTGTAATTTCACTATTTTTGATGTGTGCCATTGGATCTCAAGATCAAGGATAATGACACTCAGTTCACAGGACACGAATTCCTAGAGTTCTGTGACAGAAAGCACATCAACGTGCGTTGGGTGTCTGTGGCACATCCATAGACGAATGATAAGTCGAGAGAGCTAACGGCTGCATACTACAAGGACTCAAACCACGAATCTTCGAAAGATTAGCACCGTTTGTTGGGAAGTGGAAGCAAGAGCTACCAGTGGTCCTTTGTAGTCTTTGAACGACGCCCAACAGATCAATTGGTTTCGCTCCCTTCTTCTAACCGAGCTCGACTATGGGTCCCCTCGAGTGTGGGCCTATAATAAAGAGACGGCTGAAGAGGCATTGCAAGATTCATTCGATCGACTCGATGAACAGCGCAACATGGTGTTAGTACGACAAGCGAAGTACCAACAATAGGGTTCCCCTTCCTCCTCCTAAGCCCAGCTCGCATGTGCGTCGTTCGTGCCACAGTAGAGCTTGCATGCATGCCAATGCCACCCTAACCGAGTTACCCCGCATATAGCCGTACTCTCCTCGGCAAAACTTGCGTGCGCAGCACCGCTGGTGGAAGAAAATATTGAGGAATGCACCTGGACGTCGGTGACGCTACCGTTGAGATGGAGTAAACTTCAAAGTAAGGCGACAAAACTATGAAGTGATTTGTCCTAAATAACTGCTTGTTGATGGCTCCATCACACGGCCCAAGTAGCAAGACACAGCCCACCCCTTTTCAACTTCACAACAGGGGTACACACGAACCACCTATTTGAGTTGAGTCAACATTTAATCGAAATCTCATACGGGGATAAAATTTTAACGTACCTAGCATTTTATATTGATTTTAAGATTTATTTGATTTTAATTAAACCAAAAGTAGATCAAATCCAATTAAATCCAAAAAAAACTAAATGTCCATTTCTTTCTCTCTAACATTTTCACCGAATCCTTCACTGATCGACCTGGATTATTTCTTTGTCTTCCGGATGTTTTTGCATCAACGATCTTTTGGCTGAGCTGGGATCAGTCATGTCAGGACTCCTTGTTTTCTCTTTTTTTTTTCAGTTTAACCAGTGAACTGGGTCATTAATTTCGATTCTATGCATCGTCGATTTATTTCCCGCAGGGATATACCGTAGGCTGCTTTTATACTCAATGTAAAACGGAACACATAGGTGATCACAGCCTAAAACCAATTACATTAGTTCCTGTCTGTTTAGTATTCAACGTATTCTGCTGCCGGGGCAACAGATGCCGCGGCTGCCGAAATCTGTTCCCGCTCGATTTGTGCTGTAAAGGGTTCCAGTAGCGATTTGATCGACTGCTTGCTCAACGAAACAGAACAAGGGCCCATTTGGTTAGGACTTTTTCTAGCAGAAATGGTTCCCGGTGAAGATCTGTCTATACAAATTACACGGCCATTCCTGGTAGGATTGGTTCCGGGGCTTGAACGTGAATCCCTGGAACCGAACGGAGCCCAAGCAAGCAACCATTCCATTCCCATTACCGTTGTTTATGCATTCCCTTAGCGTTACCATTGCTGTTTGTGAATCAAACGGCACCTAAAATGTATGGATGACATGTTCAACGCGGGATTGGAGTAGGTAGCATTGAAGTTAAGAGCCGCGTATCAGTGTGAAACTGACCCGATCTTGAATGGAGCCTGGAGATACGACGGGGCAAGGCGCAGATGAAAAGGTCAGCACGCCAACCACCCTGGCTAGCTGCCGATTCGCCGCGTTGAAACGCGAAACAACATCGCGGTCGGTCCATCTGCCCGTCGTGACATACGCATATTTTTGAGTCGGACCAAGCGCTGAAGTGCACGCTACTCGTATTTTTTATTGACTCGGACCAAGTATGCTGGTGTGGTCACAACTTTAATACGTAAATTGCACAATAGTAGTCCACGACGGAAAACTATGCTCTGACGTGTGACGGTACGTACATGCGTATCCCTTTTCACAACGGCATTTCCCTGTTGCCTAACGCACATGTATCTGCCACCTACCGCGCTGTCGCATGGATCACATATACACATGCATGCTATATATATGCGCCCAAATCCAACCCAAAGGATCAAACCATCATCCAATTCACACAAGCTAATTAAACAAGCTCCTGCAACCTAGCTCCAAGAAGCTCCTCCTCTGCTTAATCATCTCCCCTTCCAGCAGGCGATCGACATGGCAACAAGCAGGCTTGCGCTCGTGGCCGTGATGGCAGCAGCCGTCCTGCTGGGCACGGCGTCGGCGGCGACCTACAACGTGGGCGAGCCGGGCGGGTCCTGGGACCTGCGCACCAACTACGGCACCTGGGTCTCCTCAAAGAGGTTCCACCCGGGCGACCAGATCGTGTTCAAGTACTCGCCACAGGCGCACGACGTGGTGGAGGTGAGCAAGGCGGACTACGACTCCTGCTCCAACGCCAACCCCATTGCCACCCACAACTCCGGCAACGACGCCATCGCCCTCGCCTCCCCCGGCACCCGCTACTTCATCTGCGGCTTCTCTGGCCACTGCACCGGAGGCATGAAGATCCAGATCGACGTCGTGCCCAGCGCCAACTCCCTCACCCCCGCCGGTGCTCCCGCCGCCAACTCTCCCCCGCCCACGTCCACGCCCGCTTCCGCCGCTACCAAGGTCACCGGTTTCGGCGCCCTCGCCGCCGTCATGATCGCCGCCGGCCTCATGGCTTATTAGATACTCTGTTGCTTGCTGCGTATATTTAGTTTTCATTGCGCATTATATACGGTGTATTGTATTGTATTGTATTCTTTTGAGTTCGCACGACATACATGTATGTACGTAGAGAGATGAGGCCGTGCCAGCATATATACATACTACATTTATCTTTATTCTTCGCATGGTCAGAATTTTATTGGTCTACTAAATCACGACATATAGACGGACGGACGAACGGCCTCTGCCATTCTTAGCTAGCTATACTACAATTGCTCTGCATCCAACGTTCGTCTCTGCTTGCTACCACTACCACTGCTACATATATTGTTTCGGCAGCGACGATCGCACCTCGCTGCCGATCAATCGATAACTAACAACGGAGGTGTTGACGATGGGACGACGACGGTGCATAACAGAGGTGCTGCTCGCCGCGGTGGTGGTGGCGGCGGCGGCGGCAGCCAGCGGTGGTCTGCTGGCCGCCGCGGCGCGGGACGACGACTTCTTCGTGGACGGCTCGGTGTACTGCGACACGTGCCGGGCGGGGTTCGAGACGAACGCGACGACGCCGATCGCGGGCGCCAAGGTGCGGCTGGAGTGCCGGCACTACATGAGCGCGAGCGGCGCGGTGGAGCGGTCGGCGGAGGGCACCACGGACGCGGCGGGGCGGTACCGCATCGAGCTGGTGGACAACCGCGGCGCCGAGGAGGTGTGCTCGGTGGTGCTGGTCAGCAGCCCCGTGCCCGGGTGCGCCGAGAAGGAGGTGGGCCGCGACCGCGCGCAGGTGGAGCTGCTCACGGACGCCGGCGCCGGTCTCGCCACCACCGTGCGCCGCGCCAACCCGCTGGGCTTCCTCAAGAATCAGCCGCTCCCCAACTGCGGCCAGATACTCAGCAGCTACGGGCTCGGCTCCGGGCCTAGCTACTGACCTCACGGACTCACTCGATCGGTGTTAGTAGTTGCGATTAATCCATTCCTTCCTTGTTCCCAAACGAAAACAAAATCCATTCCTTCCTGCTTCTTCAGCAATGCATTGCATGCAGCTCTTGCCATTTGATTCGCACTAGTGATACACCCGCTTCACTTCATTCGCTTTGGTTTTCTACAAAACATGAGAATGTAAATGATATGCATCAAATGTTGTGACCAGGTTTATAGACCATTTTCCAGCACAAACAATAAAATCACCGGGGGCAAACCATTAGCCACCACAATATCGTTGATGAAGTTTATATGTCAATTGGTTCACAGTTATTCATATGCTATAAAGCTCATCTATTGCATGGATAAATATTGATATTACAATGATTGTTTGGCAAGTTCATATCCTAGCAAGTACAGATTTTTCATCACATAGAGGAAGCTTCTGTCTGGAATTGAGGAAGCTTCAAGTTAGGGTTATATGTGCCTCAGCCTGCAACACCCATGTAAACTTTAACTGGACAGCCATTGCCTGGCCACTTCCCTGACCTACAGACTACGACACTACCTCATCTAGTTGCTCGCCAAGCTGCCTAGCTCCACACCTAAATCGGAGACTGGGATCACGAAACTTGCTTGGATCATCAGAGAACCATTGGATTAATATCATAGTTCACTCAAACCTGATAAATTTTGGTATAAGTAACATAGGTGAGCTCACCATCTCGTCTATTCATTTATACAGACAGGATTATTGTCCAAAAACCATCACAGCTAGCATAAATTTAACATTTGTAAAATGGTAGGTGTAACATGACACAGCTAGCATGAATTTAACAATGTAAATTTAGCATTTTTATCCAACTATTCATAGTTTCTTCAGAACACTTTTTTAGCATAACTAAAACCTGCCTTTTCAGAACATTTACTCTCTGATGGCATTCCAAATGCTTCATAATTCAGGAAATGTTAACTTTGAGCTAGAAACCTGATGTACAGAAAGCAAAATAAAAAATGGATTAGAGCAAAAGCTGAAAGATCATATACAGAGGATGCATACTTGGTAGCAGCTTTTCAATTACTCTACAATTCTATATGGACACCTTGAGCTAATTATGTAAAAGAAGCAACATCAAAATGCAATTAATGCATAGAAGCACACAACTTTTATTTCAGGATTTTCACTTTGCTACTGGGAAACCCTCCACCAACAACCTGTTTTCAAAAGGTGGACCTGATTTTGCTTTAACCCCATACTACAAAGGACAGCAAGTAATTGTTTTTTTCATCTAGAATGAGAGGCTTTTTTAGTAATCTTCACGTTTTATTGTGAAGCCTCATCACAGTCTATTCTTATCAATGCACAAGGCACAAGACGCCTTTCACAGTCTATTCTTGAGCTAATTAAAGTATACTAACCAAGATGCATAAGCCAAACTTACCAATGCAATAACAGGATATTTAGGATTTTTTCTCCACCACTAGGAAACCCTCCACTATCATCTTGGTTTTCAAAAGACATCCTGAATTTGTTTTAGCTACCAAAGAACAAAAATAACTTCGCCTATGTTGTCTCAACATAGCAGGTCTCAAGCCTTGGTAAAGGAGGAGGGTTGTGATAGGTGTGGCGAGCCAACGTTAAATCTAGCCATTCTAATAGAGATGAAACCCGAAAGAAAACCGTTGGGGCGTAACCCTCTTAGCGACGCGCTATATCGAAACCCGGGTATGGTGTTAAATGGGCAAGGGACGGGTCGGCACCCCCTTGTTGACGTGCCGTGTCGCGATCTGGGTATGGTGTCAAGTGAACAAGGATCGGGTTATCGCTTCCTTAGTGGCATGCTACATCGACATCCGGGTGTAGTGAAAAATGAGCAAGGGTCTTCACATCTGAGTCGACGGGTGCGAAGGGTAAGGAAGCTAGTCGAACCAACTAGGATCCGTTTAGGTAGTTGGAATATAGGGTCGCTTAAAGGTAAGTTAAGAGAATTAGTCGATACTGCGACTAGGAGGCGTGTAAATATATTATGCGTACAAGAGACTAAATGGAAGGATCAGAAGGCGAAGGAGGTGAACAATACATGTTTCAAGTTTTGGTACATAGGGACAGTCACGAATAGAAATAGAGTAGGAGTTTTGATTGATAAGAGCCTCAAGAATGGTGTGGTGGGAGTAAGAAGGCAAGGAGATAGGATTATCTTAGTCAAGCTTGTCGTTGGTGATATGGTCTTGAACGTAATTAGTGCGTGTGCCCCCAAGTAGGCCTCGACAAGAGTGCTAAGAGATAGTTCTGGAAAGACTTAGATGACCTGATTAGAGCTGTACCTAGTAGTGAGAAGCTTTTTATATGAGGAGATTTTAATGGGCATGTAGGTACTACAAGCGTAGGTTTCGAGGCAGTTTATGGAGGTTTTAGGTATGGTAGTAGGAATCAGGAGGGGGAGGAAGTTCTGAACTTCGCGGTAGCTTTTGACTTGATGATAGCCAACACTTTCTTTAGAAAGAGAGAATGATTGACTTTGTCCTCGCAAGAAGAAAGGACAAACGAGCATGCTTGGGTTGCAAGGTGATATCAGAGGAGTGTGTTGTTTCTCAACATAAGCTTTTGGTGGCAGACTTTCGTTTTCAGGTGCGTGCCCATAAGGATAAACAAGCTAAGATTGAAAGAACAAAGTGGTGGAAACTGAAAGGGGAGATGTCAGAGGTATTCAGAGAAAGGGTTGTCAAAAAGGGCTCTTGGAAGGAAGAAGAGGACATAAACAACATGTGGGAGAAGATGGCAACCAACATTCGGAAGGTGGCCTTGGAGGTGTGTGGAGTAACCAAAGAAAGTGGAGGCGAGGCTAAAGATACTTGGTGGTGGAACGAGGAAGTCCAAAGGGCTATTAAGGAGAAGAAAGAATGCTATAGACGCTTGTACCATGACAGGAGTGTGGACAACATAGAGAAGTACAAGGTGGCAATGAAGACTGCAAAGCGAGCTGTAAGTGTGGCAAAGGGTAGAGCTTACGAGGATCTTTACCAACATTTAAGTACGAAGGAAGGAGAGAAGGACATTTATAGGATGGCTAGGGTTCGTGAGAAAAAAGACAAAGAACTTCAACCAAGTTAAGTGCATTAAGGATGAAAGAGAGCATCTCTTGGTGAAGGAGGATGAGATCTGACATCGATGGCAAGAGTATTTTAACAAATTGTTCAATGGTGAGAATACGGACACAACCTTTCAGTTGGATGACTCTTTTGATGACACCAATAGGCGCTTTGTGCGGAGAATCCAAGAATCTGATGTCAGAGAGGAGTTGAAAATGATGAAAGGAGGTAAGGCGATGGAACCGGATGATATCCCAATCGAGGTGTGGAGATGCCTCGGGGACATAGCTATAGTATGGATAACCAAGTTGTTCAACCATATTTTTTGATCGAACAAGATGCCTGACGAGTGGAGAAACATATTGGTACCGATCTACAAGAATAAAGGGGATATTCAAAGTTGTACTAATTACCAGGGAATTAAGTTGATGAGCCATACTATGAAGCTATGGGAGAGAGTTATCGAACATCGCTTGAGAGCAATAACTCGGGTCTCTATGAATCAATTTGGTTTCATGTCCGGAAGGTCAACCATGGAAGCCATTTTCTTAATAAGACAAGTTATGGAGCGGTATAGGAAAAAGAAGAAGGACCTACACATGATTTTTATTGACTTGGAGAAGACTTATGATAAAATAGCAAGGAATATTATGTGGTGAGCTTTGGACAAACATAAAGTCCCAACGAAGTACGTCGGGCTCATAAAGGACATGTACAATAATGTTGTGACTAGTGTTTGAACAAGTGATGGAGATACGAATGACTTCTCGATTAGGATAGGACTATATCAAGGGTCAACTTTGAGCCCTTATCTATTTGTCTTAGTGATAGATAAGGTCACAAGGGACTTACAAGGGGACATCCCTTGGTGTATGCTTTTTGTGGACGATGTAGTGCTAGTTGATGAAAGTCGGACATGAGTGAATCAGAAACTGGAGTTATGGCGAGAGACTTTGGAGTCCAAATGTTTTAGACTCGGTAGAATTAAAACTGAGTATATGAGATGTGAC